GGGGGGGGGGGGGGGGGGGGGTTGGGCTAGCAGTGGCAGACTGAGCCAAGGACTCATCCACGGTCTGGTAAGAGACCTAGTGTGGCAAGGCTGGAGAAAGCAGCACTGCAAGGCTATGAGAGAACTCACTTGAGTGAGAGAAGGAAGGCTGCTCTGTGGTGCAAAGCTAGCAGCACCTTCTCAGGGCCTAGAGAGACTCCAGGACCGCAAGTTCCCCTCTGTGGACTACGTTTGGTGTGTTGTTGACCACCGACTGGAGTAGGATGCTTCCCGCGGGGCAAGTATGCCCAGCAGACAAAAGACTATTTGAGCTAAGCAAATCCCTGAACCCGCTACAGTAGGTACCTACCTAAATTGGGGTGAGATGAAGGGGTTTTATGGCATGCAGAGCCACTTTTATAGGCATTTCACAGCAGCCTTGCCATTGATTGGCAGAGGGCTGCCCTTCACGTGGTCCTGCCCCTCGTTGCTGACGGGCTGCTCCCCTGCATGCTGCTCCACCAGCTGGTGCCCCCAGAGCCCCAGCTGGCTGTGAGACCCCTGGCTCCCACTGGGGATCCAGCACTTTATATTCAGTAAAGTTTGTTTGGTTTTGACTTCCTTTTTAAATGTTTTATTTGGGGAGGTTATTCTAAGGGAAATCATGGCAAATGCCACTTTTCACAGCAATTGTGGAAGCCGTTTTTACCGTTGCTGTGAAAGTGCAAGCTAAGTAGGTTCCTACACATAAAATTCCTTTAATGTATTTTTTCAGTGAGGAAAAAATGTTCTACAAACTAATTCATGTTAACCAAGGCAACTTAAGTGTCAAAGTAACTACTAATAGACCCCTTATCTCTGTATAACTCAGCTCAAAAGGGGCATTAATGCAGTGTTAAGCCAGCCTAACTTTTCCAATAAGCCTCAAGTGGGCATCTGCTTCTGCGACAATAGTAAGTTATTTGCTCTAATCATAGTAACACATTATTAATGTAATGCAGCAACTTGTTTGTTGACTTAACTCAAATCATCAGTTCAAGAATTTATTGCATACTAATCCTTAAATGAGTCTCAGTATTTGAACAACGATTTATTCTTCTGTTTCAATGCTTTCTTGGGGTCCTAAAACACATCACAGAATTCAACTGTATTTGATCCTTCCTGGAGTTGTTCTGATTCAACCTTTCTAATCCACTTACTTTTCCTCATTTACCCAACACTAGTCAGTTATTCTGCAGCAATTGAGACTATCTATATTCAGGTTGCACATAATTATATTTGTGCAACTCTACTGCAACCAGCAGAATAGCAACAGGTGCTGAAAATTCCCTTTCTCCTATATGGCAGCAGCAGCTTGAGTTTTTTAATGAACTGATATTCCCACTGGTAGTCTGACAAAACCTGAAGAGATTTCAAAACCACAAACTCCCCCGCCCCCCGGCACTTTAAAGGATACTATTTTACTCTTAAGCAAATGATTTCCTACAGCAACTTCCACTGTTGCCTGGGTGTCACCCAAACTACCCCACATAACGAAACCGTGAAGGAGGCAGCCTCCTGCACTAACCTTCCAGTTCTTATCTCTGTTACATCACAGTTACTCTCACAAGTCAGATTTTGATTTGGCTCAAAACATGCTGCTTCTGCGTACACAATATGATTCTGAAATGCTGCCTACACTTTGGTAACTAAATAATTTTTTAAAATTTTGTCCATACCAAATCCTGCTAATTATTTTCATGTTTGTGTATGAAGGAGATGTATTGTTTTGCAAACTCCTAGAGACTATCATTAGCTCATGCTATACTTTTTGAAATTAAGATTATACACTTTTTCTAGAAGACAGAGTTTACTTCAACTGGGAAGCATTTGAGGGCATTCCAGTAGCCTGTATTATCAAGGTAACCAGCCTGGATGATCACAATGGGCCCTTCTGGCTAGAAAATGTACCAAACCAACTGAAAAAAGTCAGAGGAGGAATTTGTGACACTCCTCCCCTGTACTGCCACCCAAACAAGAACTTGAACTTCCCTGCCTGGCGTGGTTGTTAGGAACAATCCAATATTTGCCAACTCTTATCACATGCTGTTGCCTAATGGGTTAAGGAATGCACAAAATGATGATCTATTTTTTTTTTCTTTTTTGGGGGGTGGGGTGGGGAGGAGGATTATCCTAAATTAAGAAACATAACCTCAGTGTAGCTGGAAAAAAATAAAACCCTCTCAGCCATAGCCTAATGCCCTTATGCTCTCCACTGTGCTACATGTAGCCTTTGTTACACAGCAATCTTAGGACCGAACATTCAGATCTGCAGTCAGGTAAAGCAGAGGAAACTAAAGTTTATTTTACATATTTAAATTATTACATGTATATACTGCAGCATACCGATTCCATAAAATTTTAGAATTTGTATCTGTGAAACAGCTAAAATTATGTATCTCATGCTTGAGAATGTAAGTGTGGTTATCAGAAAGGAATTCCCCTTCTCACAATGCAGAGGACTGGATACTTCCTATGTGCAACATGGGGTAGTTTATTTTTGGAAACAGAGTTCAGTTTCTATCCAGAAACTTAGCAAAATGAACAGCTGGCTTATCTACCATGGCAATTTCTATTTAATATTTATTATTTGTATTGCAGTAGCACCAAGGAGTCTCAATGAAAGACTAGTCTTGCAATGTGCTGAACATCCCGCAAACAAATATAGCAAGAGACAGGTTTTGACTACCAGAGCTCACAATCTGTACTTCCACCCTACCAATTTTTTTTTTCACACTGGAATACTGAATCTCAGGTTCTTCTCGCTGAAAATTTAATACTCTTCTATTTTACGTTAGGAGTATCAACAACAGTTGAAGACCATTTGTAACTGACATGGTAGATTAAAGTATACTATACATAGCGACTTACACATGAAAACATCACACCATTGTTGATTAACACGGAAAAAGTGTCTAAGCAAAGTGCTTACAATGGAACAGCAATTTTTAATTGGTCTGTTCCTATGAAAAGCCACAGAGATAGCTTGTGCCTGTACAGTAACATCTAGCTGTGGGTATTGTAAGCACGGGCATTATAAGCAAGCCATAAGAAGTCTATTTAGAAATCGGAGACTATTTTTGGAAACCTTGCAAAATTTACCCACGTCTAAAAATTTCCTCCTCACTCACATCCACATAATTTGCAACACAGGCCAACTACTACTGATGGAGTGAACACTGTGAATGGTGCTTTCTGGGTGAAGTTCCAGCTCTCGTTCTGTAGAGTTTAATGTAAAACAATTCGGTGCTTGTTTACTACTGGCGATTGGCTCGCTCCTGTGCATATTCCTTTTTGTTTGGTGCAACCAGCCAATGGAGCACCGGCACAATCAGGTTCAAAATACCCACAACAGGGTAATGCACCAAACGAAAGGAAAAGACAGGCAAGAGACAACATCGGTATATGGGTCTGAGTAACGCAGGTCTCCCAGTAATATTGTGTTTGCAGGCATATATACATTACACAACATAGAGCATTATACTTTAGGAGCTTCCTCAAAAGTTTGTTTTGGGAAGGGACTTGAAAATGAGGACCAGGGCAGAAAGCCAGAAAGGGCTGAGAGGAGAAAACTAATCACAGGGCTCTACATAAAAGAAACAAGTACTTTCATCTATAGACACTCCAGACCCAAGCATCAATAGGATGTAGCATACAGTTTAACTTCCTTGTCTGCAAGGTTTGAAGCACTGTGATACCACTAACTGCCCAATATGCTTTATTATCTCCTTTTACAGATACAGGTTCACATTAAAAAGAAAAAAAAGTTGAGGTGGTGGTTTTCAATG